AGGCATTTACAATTTACAATTTACAATTTACAATTTACAATTTACAATTTACTAACTAGTTTATTCAATATTAAAATAATGTCATTATACACTTAAGCATTTACAATTTACAATTTACAATTTACAAATCCTTCATTTACTTGTATGTTTTTATCCATAAACAACTACATTTCCAATTAATTATACACAAATTACAATTTATGTATATATGACAATTTACAAATAGGTTGTAAATTTACAAATGACAAAGGAACATTACACTGGTCTCATACTGAGCCTCTAATGAAATTTAAGACTTAATTTTCAAAACAAGAATTCTGAGAACATGCTTTGCGGTTGCCAATTTAATTAATGATTTAATAAAAGTAATAAAAACATATTATGACTTTAAAATTAATAATTACCTATGTTTTTTGTTACCCTTTCTATTTCTTCCGATGAACAGTTATATATACCAGATATAAACATAGGATTTAGACTGGGTTCTGGTCGAGGGGTATTGCCGCTCGAAGTTCTGCAGTAACATAAACTGTAGTACCAATAGAAGGTGGTGGGTACTGATGATTTACTGGTGGATGGTACTGTAGGGTTACTGAATCATTGACATCATTTTTAAAACATCGTTTTAAAACAAATCTATTACCAATCACAAAACAAGGGAGAGGCGGAAATTTGTAACTAAACAACAATACCCAGGGGCTTACAAGGGGGGGGCAATGGCTGTACATCCCCCCCCCTATGTAAATAAGGGGGCCTCATTTGTAAAATGATTGCATATTATGTGGTGGGAACAGATCATCATGATATGGTTTTATTCTTTATAAAACTTCATACTCAAAATTCAGGAAATAAAAGCCTACAATTTTGTCTTGCTGCTATGCAAAATCAACAAATATATGTTCTAAACCATGTAAAGCCTAAGTATACATAATATAAGTTTCTGTAATGTAGACAAAAATCTTAAGCGTAAATTGTTGGTTTCCATTTTGTCCAAAATTATTCCGGAGTTCCACTTTACAGATTAAAAATTTACAGATAATGGAAACCGTAGGCATAAATTAATGCCTTAGTCTCAATGTTTGTACTATAAATAATGTGATACATAGTGTTATCTAGGTTAATTAAAAATGATTCCCTAGAGCAAAAACAACCACATTCTTCAGCATTCTTCACCCCAGACTTATAACTAAAGCCTAAACAACAACATAGTTGACAGTATTAAGCTAGTATGCATAGAGTTAAAGGAGAATAGAAGGCAAAATGGTAAAAAGTGCCAATTTGGGACATATGGGTATGCCATTGTCGAGTGGAGTCAAAGGTGTCCATTAAATTGAACTACAGTTTTCGAATAAAACCCCAGCATAATATTCTGTTTTGAATTTATATATATGCTCATCATATAACACCAGTCAAATGAGAGTGGCACATTCTCATGCCAGGCGCTATGCAGGTGTATTGAAAGCAGTGTTGAAAAGTTTTGTAATTTGTAACAACACATAAGACGCTGTGATCTAGACGGAAGGAAAAAGTCAAATTATTATTATTGCGCACAATAACGTTTTGACCTTCAGATCCTCTGTAGTTTTGATTATATCAGAGAAAAACCTTCTCTTATTGAAGAACTTTTGAGAAAAACAAACATTTTTTTAACTTCTAATATGTAACTGCAGATTAATTTGCTATTCTCATATTTGAAAACTTTCAAGATTTAAAGTTTGTCAAAAAGAGTCTTTAATCATGGTATCAGACCAATCACCATTTTTAGATCTGAGAAATCATTAGTTGAAGCAGAAGGAATTGCTGGTTATTTTTAGTGTTTTAAATCCCCCAAAGAGGTAAAGAATAAGAGTTTCACCTGAAGATGTCATTGCTGAATCATCTGCTAAAAACCCTGGAAGAATACACTTCTTCGGAATACAACCAGCTAAAAGAGTTTTCATATCTTTAATAGACTGTAAACATACTTTAAAGTGACCCTTCTTTCATAGAATGCATGATTCCCAAAAGTAACCTTTAACTCGATCTTTGACGAATCCAGAATGACTGAATGTTAAGAATTCTCAAAACAGTTATTTCACTTGATTTCTTCCATTATGAAGATTTCAAGTGACTCTTTATTCAGAGACTATGATATCCGAATCACAATAATACAGTCATAGATTAATTAACAATAGGATAGATTAATTGACAATAGGATACTAGATGTTGTCTTTTTTAAATTTAGGGTTATTGTGGAAAACCCCCAAATTTTGAAAAGACAAAATCTAGTGTCCTCTTTGTTATTGTTAATTAATCTGTACTGTCCATAGTAGATTCAGGTTCATGGTAGGCAACATGCAGGCCGGTTTTAAAGCTGCTACAAACAAGAAGCATAGTACACTAAACAGACGATATTATAAGGCAAACCAGTAAAGTTAACTAAATGAATCCGCCCCTTTTACGGAGATTCTAGTAAGTCTGCAATTGAACTCACGATTTAAAAAAAAATGCTAACTAACTGTACATCACTCTCAGCAATGTACAAAAGCTTCTTGGCTTTTCAGTTTTGGATATAACCTACAAATATTAATGTCATTCATGGTCTAGACAAAGGAAGAAAACTTATCGTAGTGAATCTGATATGCAATTTATTTAGGGTTGTTTGAATAATAATATACATGAACAATTCCTTCTACAAATAAAACAAAGTTTTACCACTTTCTGTTGTTGTCGTTGTTGTAGACGTTGTTGAAGTTGTTGTTGTGGTTGTAGGTGAAATTGAAGATATGGATACAGGTGTGTTTTTATCTGATCCTGTACAGTTGTTTATCAAAACAATTAATACCAACTTTTGATGATTCTTACAAAGCTTACAAACAGCATTGAAAAACATAAACCTGGAAACAAAGAGTAGATGGCAATTAAGATCTTCTCTTTCTTTACTTGTAAGCTTATTATTTTAAAAAAAACTTACAAATAAAAACTGAAATAGAAAAGTTATCTTTATTGTACTGATATATAGGCCGAGCACTGTACATAAAACATGCTATTTTCATATCATATCTAGGGTTGCTAATCGTTTTTTTAAACGTTCGTTAAACGATCGTTAAACGATCGTTGTTTGTTTCGTTTTCAAAAACGATAGTTTCGTTTTCGGAAAAAACGATCTTTTTTAAAAACGACCCACTCGTTTTGAACTTTTAGAAAACGAAAAGCGATCGTTTTTGAAAACGATCGTTTTAATTAAAACGATTTGCCACTGTTTTTATACGATTGTTTTTAGACAAACGATCGTTTTTGAAAAAATGTTATTGACAATTATATTAACGATTGCTAACGAAGGGTCGTCGTTAACGATCGTTAACGAAGGATTGTCGTTAACTATCGTTAACAAAACGACGAACTTTATCAAAACGGTCGTTTTTGGAAAAAAATTACATGCAACTTTATTGAATGTCGTCTTACATAAAGTTTAACAGTCTTGGGGGAGTTAAAACTCCTTGATATTTTCTTAAAAACTACTCAATGATCAGTACAGATGCCCTTCAGGTCGGTTTCCTCTCTTAGTTAACGCTCGTTAATGAAGGGGTCGTCGTTAACAATCGTTAACAAAGGGTTGCCGTTAACGATCATTAACGAAGGGTAGCCGTTAACAATCGCTAACGAAGGTTCGTCGTTAACGATCGTCCAAGAAGGGTCGGCGTTAACCATCGTTAACGAAACGACGAATTTTATAAAACGATCGTTTTAAAAACGACCATTTTTAAAAACGACCATTTTTAAAAAACGAACTTTTTTTTTAAAAAATGATCGTTTTCGATTTTTCGTCGCCGTTTTCATAACGAAACGATGGTTTTTCTGAAAAATTAAAACGTTAACATTCCTAATCATATCATATATTGTTCTGCAGTAATAATTAGTACAGATATGAATGAAGACAAAACTATTTGAAGTATCCAGGAGTTTGTCCAGAGAAATTCTTGAAATATGCAGATTAGGCTATTTTTGTCTAATATATGTTGGAAAGCAAAAAGTCTACTTTTGTTAGCTGGAAAAGAAAAGCAGGGGTACCTGCACCAGGATCTGGGGGGGTAGTAGTTGGTTCTACTCCAGAGTCTTTTCCTGGCAAAAATTGTGCATAAAAATAATATTATGATACACATTACTTAAAAGTTGAGATTCTAGGTTAAAGTGTGAGGCCGCATAGGCTGTAGGTATCCATGAGTTTCCTCATTAAAATTCAGCTCATTTGATTCAGCCATTTGGCCAGCCGCCCACAGCAAACATATAAATGAACGAAGAGCTTTATTATATATTATAATTTTTTTCAAAACAGAAATTTGTACAAGTCATAATTATTTCCTAGACCCTTTTCCTTTTTTTCATCTCATAGAATTGAAGTTTAAGTTTAGTTTTTCAGTTTCAAAAATGTCTTTTACTATCTCCAGTATACATACTAATTATTACAAACATAACAGTATAATAAAATGTTGATTTATTAGAAACAATGATTTTTTTCTTCAAGTTTTGTTTGAAGGAAAGATAAAGTATAGTTCATGCAAGGTATTTGGACTGCATGTGTACCTTTAAAGTATCTTATACTAATGCCTGATATCCAAGAACCAAATGTTTTGAATTTACAGTTCAAATTTTTATGCACATTGAACAAATTTTGCCCCCCCCCCCC